TGGTTGCTTGTTAAGACATCAGAGTGGATCCATAAGACTCTGCCATGTCTTCCTCATCCAGAAATGAATTTAATCTCTTTTAAAATTGATTTTTTCAACCTTTTTTAGAATAGTTAAACTAAATTTGTTGAGGGTGACAGCTTTGTCCTGCCATTTATTTTTAGATTATGGTTGTTCATAAGCAGGTAATTTCTTCAGCCAATAAAACATGCTGAGTCATCAAAGATAGAGCTCTGAACGTGAGTAAAAATTAGATTTGAACTGGCTGATAAATGAGGATAAGGTTATTCTTAAAAGCATGCTGGTACACAGCAATCTTTATGGTATGTTAGCTTAAAATGGCCTTGACGTTATATTTGAAAACACACCTAAACGAGATACATCTGACACCAAGAACAAATCCTTCTTTCAACTCATTTCAACTCATTTCCCTTTTGAATAAAGTGTGAACTTATACTTACACCTTCTTCTTCTTCAACTCAATTGTTTCTTTTTGCAATCAACTCAGTGCAATATTCATTGATGTTTCTTTCGTAATAACTCTGTGCAATAATATGTATATATACGCTATTACCCTGTATATATCTAGCTCTTATTTATAGAAATCATATTTATTAAGTAGGAATAAGGTCTTAGCTCTGTCACTGTGGTAGCCAAGTAATCGACATTTCGTTGTCAAGATTCACCTTGTGTTTTTTGTACAATCACAATAAAGGAAGTCTAAGTCTGAGTCTAAGATGGCTAACAGAGCCAGTATCTGTGGATCAGGGCTGTGAGGAGCTGGACATAGAACAGGTACACGGTCTGATGCAAATCTTGAGAGCTTTCTATTTATTGGAGGTGTAAAAACTGCTGATTCCCGAGTGGGAAAGGCTGAGAGTGACGAATAAATCGAGGGTTAACTTTCAGATCCGAAACGGCCATTTAACTCATTGGCTGCCAAAGACGTTTATAGACGTCTTTTATGTTTTTCAACGAGAGTGGCTGGGGGACGATCTGCTAAAGCTTGTCCGTAAACATCAGGCTTCTAGACAGAGTATGTAGTAACAAATTGACCCACTTTTGATGGGAGATGAGCATAGACTGTAGGCAAATAAGAAAAAGGTAACGGTTCTATGAGAGAACATGTCGCCGGTGAGACGCAAGTCCAGGAAGAACGGAATAAGGTAGAAACAAAATCTTTTTCCCGATGAAAGAAGAGAGTCTACTCTTTCTTTTGGTGTGTTCGGTGTTTACATAGTCATAGCACAAACTATTCTGTGGCTCTTGAAAAATCAGTCAAAATGCTAAAAAAAACCCTGGCAGTCGATGAGTTAAGGACAACGTTTGAGGAAGAAGAGGGTGTGGGTGAGGGATGAAGAGGGGGGGGGGAGTAATGATGAGTGAGCTGATGGCACACTGACCTAGTAAAGCTCCACTGCCAGTGGGAGCGAGCTGCCCTACTCCTGTCTGACACCCCCCCCCCCCCATATCCACTCATCAACACTTTCCCTGCTCCTCCGTCTGTGTTTTATCTGTTTTTTATCTGTTTATCTCTCCGCCTCCATACCTGCCCGGCAAGTCCCGACAACAGACAGAAACAAAAGGCTCCTCAAACCAAACGCAAATCAGAGAATTAGAGACCGGAATCAGAGTCCCGTGGAAAAGGGGCGAGGGTTCAAAGGTTCAAAGTTGTTGTGATGTGGCACTATATAAATAAAATTGAATTGAATTGAATTGAATTCATTTTAATTTTGTAATGTCATCGTCTGAACGTGTGTTTGGACTGATTTTGTATTTTGTGATTTTGTGTTGTTTGGAGATGTAAACTAGCAACTATGCTATAATCTGGCTCATTTACAATCTGTATGAGATTGTTCATTAATGTGCACTGTCCTGATTAAATAAATAAAT